CGACCGCCGCTACTGTGAAGATAGGTGTGACACAAGTGAAATCAACGCTGATTAGAACACACACGTATCAAGTGGGCCGTAAATGATGTTATCTATGCCGAGTTTTACGACTGCTTAGACATGCCTTTTATGACTGCTTTTTTCTGATTTGCCAAAGCATGTCATTGAAACTGCTTTGGAAACTGCACCTTTTTACGCTACTAAAATAAGTTTTTCAAAGCAGACATGTGCTGCCGACAAGGGAAAATAAACGCATAATTAAATAAAGACTTTAAGCATGATACGCCACTTGTCCGGAAATGAGGCTTATATAAGAATTGAGACGAGAATCAAACAGCCTCGGCGAGTTGCAAATCGCACAAGTTATGTAGATATAGTCAGAGGGGTAGTAGGAGTGAATTGGCGTTTTCGTTCTCCGACGGAAAGATCTGGTCCGTTCGTCTGTCTTGATAGGTGATACAGTTATGTTTTCTCAAGCTTCATTTATATTGAAAAGAAGATTCAAACTTCCTTTTCTCATCGTGACGATATTTTCTCCTTTCGTCGCCGTGTGTATGTACGCCGGGTCTTTCCCAGGTTTTACCTATAGCGATGCAAAGTGGAATATTGGGTGGCAAATATCCCCTCGATGAAAAACTACTAGTGAGACCTGGTGCATGCCTACATAGGTGATCGTCTCAATAGTTTTATAAAAGTAGGCAACGCGACAAACGTTTTAAAAAGTTACTACCTTAGCAAAAACAATTTAACCAGTTTTCGTCACGATTCGTCGAGCCGTCTCTTCATATCAAAGACACATTCATTGATAATGTTTTAGTTAAATATTGAATAACTTCTTTATGCGTTCTTAAATCTTGCACAGCCTTGGTATTATTAAAACGTATCGATTTCTTTTTTTTTAGATTTTGGAACTAGCATATAAAATATAATGATGATCGGTCGATAAATGATCATCGGCTTTTGGCCAAAAACGACTGCTGTTAATCGGTAATTCTAAAATTAAATTTAGTTTCATATTTTCCTTAGGAGAATTTTTGTTTTTGATTTTTGCTTTTCCTTTTATTTTTAATTATTCACTGTTTACTATGGCATCATGCATATGTGTTATGTGTCATTGAGTATTTTTCCCCGACCATAATTGCAATATTCCTTTCTCGTTTACGTTTTTTTTTTTATAAATGGAAGTTAAAAGATGTTTTTCGGTAAAGTTAAACGTTCCTAAATCAAAAGAAAATATAGCAAATACGACAATAATTGTAGAAAAATGTAATAAACGCACTAAAAGTGTCTGTTATCTAGATAAGCTGATGAAAATGTGTAAAAAATGCGAAGACAAAAACTAACGTAATATTAATAAAAAGAATAAAGACGTCGAGATTTTTTTTTTTAAATTCCTACTAGAAAACATCATGAGAAATATCTCTAATAAAATACTCTAGAAGAAAAACTGATATGAATACCTAATAACGAATGTGTCTGTTGTAAAAGAACATTATAATGGCAACTCTCATTTACACTATTTACAGTGTTCGGACAGTTTTCCCTATCTTTACTCTCATATAAACGACGTTTCGACGGTTATACGCTCTGGCCTTCTTCAGGTGATATACGCTGGAATATAGAACCGAAATCCTTATTTAATCCACGTGGGGAAAGTATTATAGTTCCCCGTGCCATACCTTTCCTGGATATCTCAGATATGCTTTGCACGTTTTACTTTCGCAGATATATTGTCTGCACGCCACTGTACAGATTCAGAAGCCTGTGTTTTGAATTCAGTGCTTTCCTTCTCCTCGACAACTGGCCAGTCAGGGTTAGAGACCCGCTATTTAACTCAGGGAAGAAGAGAAGACTTATACCATTTCTCAAAAATTGTGGAAGTGACTATAACGTATTCGCCCGAATTTAGAACTCGGAGAGCCAAGTTCTTAGATCGACTTTTCTGTGAACTCCCTTTAGTAACTCAACTCACCACTTGTTTTTTCTTCTTCTGTCGTCAGTGACAGAATTAACAACTGTTTGGGTCGAGTGACTATTTGGATTATTTCAATCAATCAACATTTATTAACTGGGAATAATATTATAATATTAATGCTCTGTAAATTTACATTGAGCACTATTTTGTAAAAATAAAAATATCTATAAGAACACCGGATTTTATATCTTACTGTTCTTTCTTTTTTTTTTACATATATATATATATATATATATATATATATATATATATATATATATATATATATATATATATATATTATAATATCTGATATAATGTTTATTACAATATCTGTAATAAAATGAGCATTATAATTTTGATTATGTCTATTATAACGTCCATTTTTTGTTTACCGATCATTTCTCTTATAATGCATTATATGTCTAACGACCTTATCTATTTTAATAATAGCATTATTATAAAATTTATGCCAACGGCGATACCTATTAAAATGAACATTTTGATGTTAAATCCCTTTTTATAATAATATAGCATTATCATGTCACAGACTGTTATAATGAGAAATTATATTAAAATATATAGCTATTTTAATAGAATCATTATAATAGAAATTTATGATTTTAAACGCAATGTTTATTACCATGTCTCGTCCTGCTTATGACGATAAACTACATCGACAGCAAGGTTCCTGATTGGGAGATAGGTGATTGTGAGGAGCCTGTAACCACCTCTTAATTGCTGTTGTTCCCAGGTCCACCCTGATCTAGGGCGGTAGCACATGTTAGGGTCTCAGCTATAGGCAAATGAAAATCAACAGCACTATGTTGGAATATGCTCCTCAGACCACCCCCAGATAAAAATCAACAGTACATTTTCATAGTAAAATTACCAACAATACATTTCATGATCTACAAAATATATATCTATAAAACATATCTTTACCCAGAAAGTATAGCATAATGCACAAAATGTCTTTTGTTGAAAGCATAAAATTACATAGAAAATACTTAGATTACGAGATTAAATAACCCATTGATTTTTAAATGCCGCCAAACAAATTCAACCAACAAACTGTTATGATGTTGATTTGGGGTTAGTAGAGACAAACGCCAAATAACACGTAACAATAAAAAGGTAAAAAGGTACAGAAATCGCCTGAGTAGTCAATAACTAGCTCAATAACGGTCTATCTCTCTTCCGTCATGTCAACTGACATGCCACTATTTAAAGTCTTTGTTCACAGTGGCAGAGAAGCTCATCTTCAAGAGGGGTGGTAGGTTTCCGACACAACAAAAACAACCAACATAAAAAAAAACTATTAAATAAATCAAACTGTAGCCCCAAATATAACTTCAACGTAAAATACACATAACACCACTTCTCTAGGGATCATGTCCACACAAACATGTATATGCATCAAAGCTGAATATTATCTACCATGTATTCAATTGTGAAAGTAGAATAACTAAATCGTTATTATTCAAAGCTCCCATGAAAATAAAATGCCGGCATTAAATGACCCATGATCTGTTGATATGCCGTTAAAAACAATCAATCTGTTATTACTATTTGTCCTGTAATATCAACTATTCACTTTCTAGTATGCTCATTATAATGTTATCAACCGCAACTGTTAGAATAGACTAGTTTAACAATCTTAACAGTGATATCGATTATACGAATTTCACTTACAAATATTTTAGTAACATAATATATAACTAATCATTGCGGATATCAGGAATGTTGGAAGAGTTCAAATTATTTGATATTTGACGTCACTTGATCTCTGGGTCTTGTCAGCGAAAATAAAAATGATTTTGAACAAAAGCTACATTTGATCATGACAAGAAACAATGGAGGAAGTTACATCGATACAATGATCGTCATAAAATCGCAAGTGTGATAATGGTACCTGAGAAACTTTTACCGGAACCAACCAGATCGATCTGAAGTAAAGAATTATAAGAAACTTACTCTGTGATATTAGATCTATTCACTTTAGCTCATATAAACAAGAGTATGATCCATTTACTTGTTGAATAATTCGTTAACTATAACATCTTTGCTGATGTTGTCAGAGGTTACTGTGATTTTAGATCCATTCACATTAGCCCATATAAACAAGAGTATGATCCATCTACTTGTTGAATATTTCGTTAATCATAACATCTTTGCTGATGTTGTCAGAAGTTACTCTGTGACTTTTAGATCCATTCACATTAGCCCATATAAACAAGAGTAAGATCCATCTACTTTTTGAATATTTCGTTAATCATAACATCTTTGCTGATGTTGTCAGAAGTTACTCTGTGACTTTTAGATCCATTCACATTAGCCCATATAAACAAGAGTATGATCCATCTACTTGTTGAATATTTCGTTAATCATAACATCTTTGCTGATGTTGTCAGAAGTTACTGTGATTTTAGATCCATTCACATTAGCCCATATAAACAAGAGTATGATCCATCTACTTGTTGAATATTTCGTTAATCATAACATCTTTGCTGATATTGTCAGAACGTTTCGGTTCTTATGGCATGCGGCCTTCATCAGGCTCCGAGTTCACCACCGAGAAATGTCCTACTGAACAATAGCCGAAAGCGTTTTTTTTTCTTTTTTTTTTGTGAATTTGGTTTATATTGTGAATTCCCCTACCACTGACACGGTCAATGTATAATTAGATTCAGGGTAAACACCAATTCATAATTTGTGAAGTTTTTGCCTTATTACCCTTGCTTTGTCTTATTACGTTTAATTTGCTTTGCATATATTTGCTTTCTTTACATTATTTTTGCGCTTATTGCAAACGTTGTCAATTCTATTTGTTAAGCAGTTCTGCCATTTACATTTAATCATGGCCATTTACTCTACAAAGCTCATGAGAACTTCCATGAAAATATTTATATAAAAGACAGACGAAAGCCATGTTACATGGTAATAATAAATCAAACTGTAACCCCAAATATAACTTCAACGTAAAATACACATATCACCCCATCTAGAGATCATGTCCACACAAACATTTATATACATCAAAGCT